GCGACAAACGTCACCTTTTGGGGTTCGCCTCGTCACTTTGAAGCACGACTTTGAGTGGAACCAGTGGTGATGCTGATAGCGCACTAGTGCGCGGGAAACCGTACCCACTTCAGAAGCAGAAATTGTCCATGGCAATGGCAGCGGCTGTGAACTTGCAATTTGGTGGAAAATGTCTTCGTCATTAGACTCACTTTCGCCAGCGTCACTTATTCGCTGCTGTGCGTGCTTTAAAATCAGCTCACTTCCCCCGAAGGTCGCTCCACAGTCTTTACACGCCGTTGTTGTTGGTCTTAATGCTCCAGGTCGTGATTTCCGGAAAGCGTCTCGCTCCAATTCAACTGACTCGATCGCTTTACTATTGCACGAAGGACACGTACTCAGGTCAAGAGGGACACTAGCTGTAGCAATAGCATCCACATACTTGACAAGGGCGTCTCGGAATCGTGAGGAAGCGCACATAGCATAGTAGTTGTCAACTGTAGCTGACATGTCTTTAAAAAAAAAATCCAGATCAGCATATGGGTGTGCAGTGATCCTGTTGAGTTTTGAGCTTCGGTCGCAGCAAAAAAAGCTGTCGTACAGCCAAATAAACCACCTTCCGCGCGAGTGCACCCTGCTTCCATGTTCCAATTCAGCACAACCTCAATAAAAACGTTCATCAGACAGTCGAAGTACCTGTATTGAAACACAAAACGATCAGATCAATTAATTTCCAACGACATAGGTCACTTACCTTGCGCAAATGTAAGGGTTAGCTGTAGCAATTTCACCCAACTTGGCTTTGGTGTATGTCAGGCACTGCTGTAACCCACTGTTCATTTCTTCAACAACTTCGTTGGAGATATTTCCAGCTAAATGAGCAATCCGGTACGTACTTGCACAGTCCGGTGTCAACGTAAAAAAAAATAGTAGGCTGTCCATACGTTATCTGCATCGAAAATAGGTTAGCTCGGGCCTCTGAGCGCTCTTCGTTAGAACCCCAAAACGATCGCATTCCTGTAGAAATGCCAGCGTATAGGTTTCGCACACTCGGATCAATTTCAGGCGTCGAAGGTAATGGTCGCTGTTGTAGAATTGCTTGACGGCGGCTTTGTTGAAACTGA